GGGTGTTGACTCAAAGACTGCAGGAAAGGAAAAAGGGGCATCTACCCCTTCTGATTCCAGAACTCTGACTCTTGAAAGGAAAAAATTGCACTATTGCACTTGATGGTAAAAGGATTTTCTATGTGATCTATTTTAGGAACCCCCTCTGCCCAATAAGTGGCAAAACTGAAGACTGTTTCCCGGCTCATAGTTTTGGCTGGGAATTCTTTGGCGCAGTGATGTTAATTTAGGAGAAAAAAATCTTCCAATGAAGGCACCTGTTCCTGCAATGACAGTATATGATGGGCTTTCCTGTCATGTTTGAGAGATTTCCTCTCAATCCTTGTGTTTCTGGGACTGGAAGGAAAATCTTCCCAATGGGAGATAAAAAACAAATTTAAGGGTTTAATCAATCCCGACTTTATCCAGAATAATGTTTAGATACACTTGGGGGTCTATTTATAAACCATTCACAATATCTTATCAGTCATTTTGGGCAAAGAATGCCACAAGCCAGTATTCTTCCTGATGTTTTTCCCAGTTTTAATCTAGTTTGTTCTTATTATACATTATGGCCACTAGATGGAGCCAAGGAGCATGGGGAATACTTGTTTTCTATGCTCCTCAGCTCCATCTAGTGGCCACAATGCATTATTACAATAACAAACTACACTCAAACTGGGGAAACTTTGATCTAGTGGCCATAATGAGGAAATGTTTGGAATCCTTGTCAGGTTTTTATCTGTGTCCTCCTTGTAGAGATATTCCTTTTATTTTCTGTCCCAGGAACCATTGTCAAAGGGTAAATCTTCCCGACATGGACCGCAATAAAATCTCATGAAGGTTTTTACCCTTCCTTACTCTATCCAAACCTTACTCTATCCAAACAAAAAAAGAGCTTTGGCTGGGATTCTGCTTTTAATACAGGTTGGTAACACAGTAAGCACTGTTGCTGTTCAGTCTGGTACCTCATAGCATCCATTTAGGTTTTAGTTTGCAATTGTATGATCAGCAAAAGGCAATTTCTACCTGATTTGTGGAAGTCATCCCTAATGTATCTTTACTTTGGAGAAACCGAAGAGGAGTAGGTTGGCCAGTATTTATATCTGTACAGGAAATGATGTATCGCCTCAGCGGTGTTACAAGGGGAAGGGAATGAGTTAAAGTTCAGCTTGGCTCGGAGCTAGTGACAGTGGCTGGGGAATCTGATTAGAGTCTGGTGTGAGGATAATAACCCAGCCAGGATTCTCATAGGATTACCTGTGTTTTGGAAGACAGAATACAAGATTTAAACACCCCTGAGTCATTGATGGCATCTGTCTATTAACTGTGCTGCACAGGACAGGCCTTTCCTCTATGTGGAAAGGGAACTAAGCATGAAATAAAAAGGCTTTTGTGTATATAATAATTTATAATTTAGATAAAATGACAACAGCAGTCTATGGCTAGCCTAAGTATTATGTTAAAATAAACTTCTATGTGTGGTTCTGGTATGTGCCGAGTTCTTGTAATTTTGTGTGTGGATGGAAAGACATAAAAGATGTGTTGAAACTGTCACACATCGGCTCAATAGATCGGGAAGTGAGCAAACACATACTGTCGCTCGCTCACTTCTCGATCATCTCCCTTCAGAGAGAGGTGACTGCTGGTCACGGCTCCCCGCAGGGATCCCCTCCCCGCTCCGATCCTCCAGCGCTGACTGGGGGAACGGACCGGGAGGGGGTGGGTACAGCTGGCACTGCCTCTAGATAGGCAGAGCCAGCTGTCATTCACGCAGCTCGGCGGATCTCAACAACATTGTTAGGATCTATCCGGGCTGCGGCGGTCTTAGTATACCGCGAGCTGTAGCTCACGATATACTGAGCTTTGGGTCACGAGATGACGACGGAGGTATATGTCCTCCCGTGACCCTTAAGAGAACTATGGGGAAAAACACTTACCCCATAGTTCTCCTTTAACATTAAATCAGATTAAGGGTCAATTCAAACCAGAAGCAAAACAAGACGAGTTGCCTTGTCACGGACGGATAGAGTCCTTTCACACCACTAAATTGCATAGCTTTCATGAGGGTGACTACTTTGCTCTGAATTCAGGACCAGTGCAGCATCATTGCAACCCCATCACAGGAAGCTGCATTAGGTGGACAAAGTGTGTTTTGTTTTTTTTTCTTCTTAATAGGAGGCCAAAGTTCTACATTGCTTCTAAAGGGAGGAGCAACCAATGTGGATGCCTAGACTTTCACACATCTGTTAATTTTTTTTAAGTGGAGTCTAATGAATCATTTTCTGCAGGAATTTCAACAGTTTCTGTTCCTCCTTCTCCAGTATATCAAGACTGTTTAAGTGAAACTCTAGGCAAATATTTTTGTTTGCTGTTGCTACTATTAGATTTTGTTTCAATAAATTCTTTATCTATTGCAGAAGATGAATACAGAGAATATGTATTAAACAATGCAGATCCAGAATGCAATACAAAGCCTCTACAATACAGTTAATTGACTGAACACAAATCCTCTACAGCGAATCCACCAACATAATGAGTGTAGAATATAATAACAGTCTAGTCTGTCTCTAGCATGAAGTGCAATGTCAATGGAGTGAAAGATTGAGGCAAAAGATAATTATTTGCAATAAAGTGACATTATAATACTGAAACTCCAGCATTGACTTTTAATTCAAGGGGTTCAGTGGTGATGTCACATGTTCTGCATTTGATTTGTTCTGTAAAGCTGGGGTAAGGTGCTGATTGATAGTAATGTCATTCAATGAGGGGTGAGGACAGCAACAGGCAAGGGTGGGGCTGACCAGGATTGGGAAAGTGGAGGGGGGAAAAAAAGGTGGAGAAGAACTACAAGGGCTCAGAAAAGATTTTAAAACCTTTTTTTTAAAAAGTTGTTTGATTTGAAGAGATAATCATCCCACTACCTGTCCTGGTACCACAACAGAAAAACGTTCTCCATTCTATCTGAAGAAGCAAAAATATTTTGTTTGATTTGAGGAGATAATTATCCAACTTCCTAAAAAAGCAAAAATATTTTGGATGTTGTTACCCTTCAACATTTGAGTATAGGTCCACTTTAAAAAAAGAACTGTGGCAAAAAAAAAAGTGGAAGGCAAAGGACTAGTCACCAGTATTGCCTGACGTGTCCCTGCAGCTGACTGAGCATGATTTGTTCTGCACTGTGCCTCTGTATGGAGGCAGACATCTTGGTAGAGGCAGGGTTTTGCTTCCTCATGGTCAGATCCTCCAGCAAGGAGAACAGTGAGCTACACAGTAGAAATATCAAATCTCATTCCAATAGGTAGTTTTTCAGACTACTACTTAGGCACGATCACTTAACAATTCCTTATAACATAGCTAATCTTCACTTTTTGAGTTAATGTCCACTTTAAGTGGGGAAAACCATGTGACTTGTTATTGCCGACTTGTTTTTGACTTGAAGGGTTGACGCGTTATTTAACCTTCACTACTTGGCTAAACCTGGAAGAGTTGTGTACTCCTCAGGTGTCAAATGCCTTGTGATTGAAAGTGTTTGAGGGGAGAACCGTTTGCCATACCTGCTTTATTAAATCACACATTCCCTTTCCAGAATACAACATAATATAATTTCTTTATTAAACCAGGATTTTGGATTCCATTGCAAATAAACCATATTTGAATCTTAACCAAAAAGAGGAGGGATATGAAGTCCCGGCAAAATTCCTGGTTCATTATTCTATGGTAAGATATTTCTTTTTTTTTTTTTTAAATATATTTTAAAATAAACATTTTAATAAAAAAAAATGTGCCCCTTTTCTCCAAGACAGCATCAGCCCTGTCCTGGTATGTAGGCTGATATCCCCATGGAAGTTGCGGGGGCAGTGAGTGTACGGCTTCTGCTATGTTTTTATTGCACATTAGATTTGTGGAGGGGGATTTGGGGCTAAGAAGAGGTGTTAGCCCTCCAAAAGCACCAATGATGTTTCTCACTCTCCCAGCTAGCATTGGGGAGAGGTAATTCTCCTTCCCTGGTAAACTAGTTTTAGGGACATCTAATTAGTTTGCCATCCATGTGGGTATGAAGCAGTAAAAAGAAAGAGAAATTCTGAAATTCTTCGATTCAATGCAAAAATTAACATCTAAAATTATTAATTTGACTCCCTTTTCTTCCAGGTTACTGCAGCATTACAAATGTCCCCTAGGGAGTCTGTCACATTTGCCAGGTGGGCATTCTGCCTGGTTTTGGGACTGGGTAATGTGTAGCAAATGAGCAGCCAGCTAATGTGCTGTGAACCTGTCGCCAGTGAATTTATTGGTGCGTGTTTTATAAATCTGCCCCTATCATTTCTGTGATATCTTATGTTGACAGTTGTCAAGTGAGAGACAGTAACTGCACTGAGCCCACCGAGAACTCCCTCTAGTGGCTTATCCCTTATTTAATGATAAAATGTGGAGGAGCAAGCATATCAAAATGTTAAAATCACATACATAATATAAAATAATGTCCGTAGTAACAAATTAAAATTCCTTCTGACTGAAAATACGTTATTAAGATTATCAGAATATTTTACACTGAGTAGCACTCAAATGGCATTCCTTCCATTTATTATTGTAAAGTACATAAATTAATGTGAACCTCAGAATAGGAATCTCAGATGAATGCTTTTAATAGCTGTAGCACAGACCTTCAATGTTACATTCCCTCTCTGTCTTTCAGGAAAGATGCAGGAAGCAAAAATTACTGTGCAGCCAGCTGCGTATTCTGCGTTTTCTGCTCGAGTTCCTGCAAGAAGCCAGCACTGTTAGCTGGGAAGATACCAATCCTGAACTGCTAAGTGAGTTCCCCAATCCCTCTTTTGGTGCTGCTGATATTTGAATTAGGATGTATTTGTTAAATCGTATTGTACAGTTCTGAATTTGGGGCCATGGTAAAAGTTTTGTAGAGGGATCAAATCAGGGCTAATGTAGGTGGAAATGAAGCCTACTGGAGTAAGCGAGTGAGGGCAAAAAGACTGAAGTTGGGTTTGAAGGAACAGACTGTTGGACTGTGGAAGCAGAGGAAGAGAGCTGTTTGGTGCAAAGAGGGGCAGACAGCAGCTAAGAGTGAGTTTGTATGAGGGGAGAAAGCCACCTGGAATAAGCATGCTAGTGGATGTGTTGATATAAATAAGTCGCGGAATCTCCCTGGAGTGAGTGATCAGAAGGGTAGAGCTGCCTGGAGTCAGCAATCAGAGGACTGGAAAGCGACAGGGAGGTGGTAGTTTTAACTTTTTTTTTTTTTCTCTCAGGCCAAGAGGAAGAGAAGGTGAGACAGAAATGGAAAGGGCTTAAATTGGAGTACCAGAATAAGGTGGAGGAGGTGGAGGAACTTCTACCCCACCTGCTTGAGAAGATTCAGCTTCTTCAGGAGAAAAAGACCCAACTAGAGGACAGCTTTCAAAGGTATCAGTGCAAGGTGAGGACAAATTGGGGAAGTCTGTACTGTAATGTTACCTTTTGATTTCGGTACATATCTGAGGTTAATGAAGCAGGTTTCTTTTATTTTGTTTTGGTATAATCTACAGTTAAATATACATTTGTTGGGGGAGGCCACTGTCCCTCATTAGTAATTAGTAATTATCTAAAATAAAATATAAATGAATAAACTCACGCCAATTTAGAATTAACGGCTATAACAACTTATAAGACTTTTAATAGGAAGATACAGCTCTGAAGGTAATAGGGAACATAGGATATAGACCTCAGCACGATTCCCCCCCCCCCCC